GGGACCCATAAATCTCCACGTTTCAGACGATTCTCAATCGTTTGAGTATACATTTGCGAGACAATTTTTCCCCAATTTGTTTAATCATTTTTGAAGTTGTTAACAAAAAAGATATCGTTTAAAAAAAAAGTTTCGAGAGACCCATAAATCTCTACGTTTCACACAATTCTCAATCGTTTGAGTATACATTTGCTAGACAATTTTTCCCGAATTTGTCAAAACCTTTTACAATTTGTTAACAAAAAAGCTATCGTTTAAAAAAAAAGTTTCGAGGCACCTATAAATCTCGACGTTTCAAGCGATTCCGAATCGTTTGAATATATATTTGCGAGACAATTTTTCCCCAATTTGTTGAGCAATTTTTCGAATTTACAAAAGTGAATTCATTTTTTGCATTCCGTCCATCGATTGTTTCTCCATCATACCCCCACTCCGCTCTATATTGGGTGTTTTCTTTGGTTACGATTTCCTCGAATTATCGACACTTTTGCGTTTGCTGGTCTTTCCGAATTATCGACACTCTCGGGCTCGCGCTCTGCCTTATCTGTACCCACGCCCTCCGAAAATTACCGACACTCTTGCCCTCGCGACCTGTTTGATTCACAGGTACACCCGCAAAATTAGTTCGGCTCGGGCGGCCAGACAATTTAGCGGTTGAAGATTCGCCATTGGCGTTAGCAATCTCCCCTATAATCTCTGTTATAATCTCTGTGCACAACACCTGAAGCGATACCCGGGGGGCTATTCTCGCAAAAATCCGCTTTTTCGAAACTGCAATTTTTCCTCACGAGGAGACAACAGATACTAAATCTTCAGGCGCGTTTCGTCACCGCCGTATACTTGGCGCACTAATTAATGTGAATCATTAATTAACCTATCAAATAGTTTCGAAATAATTTGGAGAAATTTAGGGAGCGGGTTTCATAATTTGGGGAGATCTCGTTAATTAATTCTTCATTTTTTCTAATTAAACCGTATAGTTGGCGTAAATTTCTTATTTTTTCATTTTTCTAAATTAGGAATTACGTAGAATTATTTGGGAAATCGATTTCTGCAGGTTTCATAATTTGGGGAATTGATAAAGAGTTGATGATTACTAAATTAAATAATTAAATCAATTTCCAGCCCTGCGCGTGCGCGCATGCATAGCCGTTCCATCAGTCGTCATCGGGCGCACTAATTGATGGAAATCATTAATTAACGTACGAAGTACTTAGGAAATAATTTGGGGAAATTTAGGGAAATTTGGAAAATGAAAAATTGTTTTGAAGAATAGAAAATTGAATATTCACAGGAAGAAAGAAAAAGATTTCTGGGAGAACGGAAAAGGTTCAAGTTTTTGAAAAATCGAAAATCTAATAATGCACTTATTCATATTGATTTCCACTCAATTTTTTTCCATTTCTTTGAACTTCAAACTTCTTTGTCAGTTATTTACTTGCTGTGTTATTATCATAAAAAGATCGTTGTTTTCCAATTATATTTCATCGATGCACAAAAAAACATCATTTCAAATTTCGTTTCAGAAATTTTTGACGTTTTCGAATATTCTTTTGTAATTAATTACAGCAAATTATTAAAAAATCATAAGCGTGTGAAACAGAATCACTTCCGTTCCATTACTTTTTAATTTTATTTAAAAAATTCCATTTTTTAAATAATCGAAGAAGTTAATAATTATCAAATGAAACGAAAAATGTATGTTTCATTCAGTTTCCCATTGTTTTCTTTCAACCCTTAATGTTTTCCTTTCAATTGACAAATCATATTATTTTGGATTTTTGGCGAGAAAAAACAGAGAAATGGAAGAACCATTTCCACTCTAATTGACTAGTGTTCTCTTTAAGAAATGACGTTGTCTGTATTTTCTTTGAATGAAATTTTCCCCTACTTTTCATTTCTCTACAATGTTTTTACAAGGAAAAACGATAAAAATTGAAAATAAATCACAAACCAATTTATCGTTATTTCGACAGCTTAGTAATCGAAGTTTGCTTTTTGATTCCTATTCGGTTGCTGCTGGATTTATATTCTATAAAATTAGTTAACAAGTATTCTATGAATAATATTCAACTTTTTTAGACGAGTGTTGATAACGAAGGAAGGGACGGGGGTGAACGCGCGCACGCGCAGGGCTGGAACTTGATTTAATTATTTAATTTATTAATTATCAACTCTTTATCAATTCCCCAAATTATGAAATCTACAGAAATCGATTTCCCTAATGATTCTACGTAATTCCCAATTTACAAAAATAAAAAATAAGAAATTTTCGCTAACTATATGCTTTAATTTAAAAAAATGAATAATTAATTAATGAGATCTCCCCAAATTATAAAATTTACTCCCTAAATTTCCTCAAATTATTTCCAAATTATTTAAAAAGTTAATTAATGATTCCCATTGATTAGTGTGCCAAGTATACGGCGACGATTCCGTTATCTTCGAGTTCGTCTTTCGTCAATTCGATACTTTCGCAGACGCCATTTTGATTTTGCATGCATTCCGTTATATATAAGGATTTATGCTTCAGTTATATTGCCTGGAATTTCATCATCTGTGAGCTCTTTGAGCTATTTGCGCTCTACTTTAAAAATAATCGACATCGTGAAAATTATCGACATTGTGAGTCCAGGTTCTACCTTATTCACAGATATGGACTTTGATTCAGTTCACGCGCCGCCGCTATGGGAGATAAGTATTACATCTCTTTTGAAGCGGCAGCGGACTCCTCTATAATCTCTCTATGTATGGCTCAATTATTTTATTGTTGTTAGTTATTTTAGAAGGGACAACACCAAATTGTATCTACCATCTGCTAACGATTTCATAAGATAATAGTACGAGTTTATAGGAATTTCTGGAAAGACACCGTGGGCAAAGTGCTGCTTATTACATTACTAATTAATCCTAAAACATGTCAGTCATTCGACAAAAACATAAAAGTGAGTACCTCTTCAGAGTGTGGGGGATTGCAATGCATTTGGTCATCCTGTGGGGAGTTCTCGACGCCAATTTTCATTCTCCGGTATTGAGAAATTTGAGTCCAGTGCCTCCAGTTAAAGAACCTCCAGCAAAACGGTTATTTTTGTTTGTTGCGGACGGGCTCAGATACAAAACTTTCGCCAAGTCTACGCCTAATTTTCTTGGGTAGGTTATGTCCATTTGAAAATATAGCGACTGATCAGATATAAACTCGATTTCTATAATTTAACCCTGATGATAAATCGTTACTCAAAATGATGCCAAAAAGAACTTCAGCTATTGTGGTTTGATAATGTTAAATAATTCTAGTTTCGTGAAAGAAACAAACCAGAGGGAATTTAATTTTGAATCACTAATTATGTGTTTATTAAACACACCAGTAAAATTTCTCTGCATGATCAAAATATGTTTTGCTAAAAAATTCAGAGAGCCTGAAATGTATTTTTCCGACGCATTTAATTTATCAGAAATGATTTAACTTCAGGCCCAGTCGTGGAAAACCGAGAATGCATGGCAAGATGTGGGAAAAGGCGATGTATTTTCCACGGCGTGGCTTTCACAAAACTTTTCCAGACGCAGGACCAGAGATTATGGAGGAGATTGCAAACACTTGGTGTAGCATTGAGAAGAATTCTCTGTTTGCTTAACCACTCGCGCATTTAATTGTAAAATTATGTAATGGTAAAGTGATGGTATATTAACTAAAAGGATTAGAATAGACCATAATGGTCTAATTGGGTCGGTATACTCGTTACTAAAGAAGTCAGGTCTTGGATACTTCGACTTTCGGGTATGACAAAAGGCCTGGAGCTCAGAGGTCTATTCTATAACCAACTTCCAATCGCACTCTGTTTCTCCAGATTTCGTCCAAGCTCTCTCCAAGTCTCTACTTGCTGAGGAGAGTGATCTCTTGGTTAGTTTCCGTTGTTTTTGTGGTGTCATTGATGTCAAGTTAGTCAAACAACTCATCATATCTAAGACTGGACTTCTTGCAACTGCTAGTTACATGTCTGGATGACAGAGATGAGGTATTATCTCCCTCGTTCTCGTCGTCATCCATTGTCTTAAGTAGGCATGGGCAACCATCATAGGCCAGTACACCGTACGGCTGACCTACTAATAGCGTACCTCTATGAAAGTACCTATATTGACACTGCTGTGCATAAATATATTACTGGTACGGTACGCGTACGGTGTACCAGTATAGTAGTAATTAGTACCATAATGGTACAGCATTAGGTACTATACCACGATTATACCAGTACGCGCCATGAAATACGTACCAAACCCCCCTTCCCTTGGTCTGTATTATCAAAAAAATAATGAAAAATTACCAAAATATATGAAAAATAATTTTGTTTACAGAACAATACATTTTTACAGAAGATTTCAAAATGATAATTAAACAATTAAATAACTTACAACTCTATAATTGATATGTTATAAGAATGCTAGAATGTTAGAAGAATGGTAAACTGCGTATTTTTTTATTATTTTTTAGTAAACTTCGTAGATCCTTTTTGAAACAATATCGCTCTTCAGCACCCTTTAATAAATTTTTCCTCTTTTTTCTCATTATTTTTTTAATAATCTGTTATTTTCTAGTAGTATTTTAAGATAAGCGATAAAATTTAAACGAAAGATGAAGTTCAATAGATAGTCCATCCAGGCCTTAAATTTAAATTTAATAATATTATCCATACTATGACGATGAAATTTCGCTGCTTGTCCGCATCCTGTCGCGGGCGTCTGCCACGACGGCGGTTTTCCAGGGCCTTCAGGGACCTCTGCATGCAGATGCAGAATTGGTCTTCCTGTGGCCCTAGAAATTTGTTGTTCCTCTGCATGGCCTCTGAAAGAAAAATAAATAGTATGAACATCTGAATCATTATGAGTCAAACCATAAGTACTTACCACGGCAAGCACGAGTGAAGCGGCTCCTGTGGAGGGACTACTTCATGATCGGAAGATTGCCGTCACGGGGAATCCCCTTTCACGGGATGTCCTCCGATAGCAGTTCCTCGGGGTGGAATGCAGTATGGAAGTAAGCGTTCGCACATTCCTGCGGATTATCCTCCCCGAGACGGACGAACAATGCAACCTGTTAAAATAGTGACCAATTAATATTTGTTGGATCGCTATAAAAAATATTGGAAAATAATTATTATAAATACTAAATCTTCGAAAATGATGAACAGATGAACAGATGCATCTACCATTCCATTGAGTAATACTGGGCCATTGTAAAATCGAATTTGACGAAATTCCGTAGCCGTGAACATTGAAAAACGCATTAAATCTTAGGGTTTATGGGCAAAGTCTATCGGGCGATGTAATTTCATTACGCGCAGCCGATCATTCTGAGCTTCTATCGAATCAGGTCGAAGCTTCAAATCTGATGCATACATTCCCTTGACGAGAACAGAGAACATTTTTTTGGTGATACCTAAGCAGACACAGTGAATGTAATGAAAAGAAACTTGAGTGACGGGACCCATGGGAAGACGAAGAAGAAGACTATCGATATCAGAATGGTGTTCGCAATCAATGCGGTCAGCATACTCTCTATCTGTTCGAGGTCTGTGGGCGACACCACGAAATGCCGTGACTCCCCGATGAATTGAGTCGCGGTTAATCCAACATTTGGTACAGGGATGTGCGCTAGTGTGATCGAGATGGGCTGAAATGAGCGCGCGAGCCGGTGCATCAACAATAAAACATCGAATCTCAGTAGGATATAACTTTTAATTGTGAATAATGCCTCCATGTGTATTCATTTCTAAAAAGTCATTGATAAAACGATCGAGGAATTCATGAACATTATTCGGTTTAGAAGAACCTTGCCAAACACCAACGATTTCTGGCTTACAACGTGGAATTTTCGCGATTCTAATTTGAATTGACTACATTTGAATTTTTTGTTGAGCATCTAATGTAGCCTCATCTGTACTAAAATCCATTTGCAACGAGTCAGGAATCATGTCATTGGGAGTTTTTTGAAGAATAGAAATCAGTTCTTCACGAAGCCCTAGGTGAAGATACTCTCCTCCAGCTACATTAACAACTTCAGCAGGATTTCGCGATGTTTCGAGGATTGAGCGACAATCAATAGGCAATTGTTTAAAACAAGAATGAGTCCGAAGAGTGGCAAGAACACTATTCATTTGGTGATGCGTCATGTTGCTTCTAACGAACGTAGTAGCTAACCGCTGCGCAAAAGATTGGATTCGATCAACCTCGTGTTGCTCGTTTGGCGCGTTGGGGGGATTAATGAGCTGAAAAACTTACCTCAAAGTAATCGCGCAACACTAAACTTTCTGTTCACACACAAAACACCTGCTGAAATAAAAAACATCCCCCAAAAAACACTCAAAAAACAAAGAAGAAGAAATCACACGTCTGGCGCAGTGTAGGTTTCTCTGGGAGAAGGAAGGACGGAACTGACGTCGCGACATGGTAGTGCGATACAAATGCGCAGACGACAAAAATTATTTTCAACACAATTTTTTTTCATTTTCAGGATTTTAGGTCATCAATAATAGTAAAAAATATAAAAATTAGATAAAACCTAATTAAAATCATCAGAAAAGTCTGGATCCGTTTACATCGCATGAGTATCATGAAGGTACGCTAATAGTATGCCGTACTCGTATCATACTAGTACAATACTAGAACAATACTAGTACGACGTACTTGTATCGTACCTTTATGACATACCAGTACCCCGTACTCGTACAATACTAATGCGATGTAAACGGACCCAGACCTTTCTGACGATTTTAATTAAGTTTAAATTCATTTTTATATTTTTGGCTATTATTGATAATCTAAAGTGCTGAAAATAAAAAAAAATGTAAAAATGTAACTCGTATTTTGAATTTTCTGCCTACATGCGCCGAAAGTGAGCATGGAACCCTCGGGAGGATAATCAGACAAGCATTTCCCACGTGCATACCTTTAATTTGGCAGGTGGGAAGGACTTGTCTACTTTTCCTCCCTAGGTGAGCAATATACTATTAATATTGTACGAGTAGGGTGTACCAGTATCATACCTATTCAAAAGACAAGTCTCCTTATACTCATCCTATTTCTATTATTAGGACAATTAATACCGCTGGGATAGAACTAGTACGATACAAGAGCAATACTAGTCCCACGTCCTAGTATCATACTTATTGCATCCGTATTCCATATGGTGTACTGACATAGTATTGATGCAATGAGTATGATACTAGTACGTGGGACTAGAATTGTTCTAGTATAGTACTAGTACGGTGCATAGTGCTGTCATACCTATCCCATCGGTATTACTTGTCCTAATAATAGTACACCGTGCTTGTATTCGGGATGAGTATAAGGCAACTAAAAAAATCGTAAATAAATACTTTATTACCATGTCGAAATGGAGTACATTTATGGCGTACTCTTACAATACTCTCATACCTATCTCATCAGTACTATAAGAGGACGCGATACTTGTATTTCGAATGGGTACGATATCAGTACGGTGTACCAACACTGTACCCGCATTATAGAAGCCCGCCATACTTTTTTTGCGAATGGGTACGCTGCCAGTACGCCGTGCTAGTATTGCACGAGTTTTCAGTACCTCATTTCGTACAAGCTTGGAGCGGTACGACGTACGCATACGATACTAGTATCATACTCATATGAGCGTACGTCGCCATTTCGCGGTAGTACGGTGCAGGTACGATACCAGTACGGCCATACTCTCGAAAACACAACGGTACGCTGTGCTATCTGGGTAGGGACGGGATAATCTCAAAATCCTAATGGGGGCCCAATTAGCCAGCCTGTTGTCTGCGAATAAGTCCCAGTGGTGACGATATTGCCGGCAGCCACGCAAAGTGGCATGCGGTTTGAGAAAAAATGTTTAAAGTTTAAAATTTTAAATATGAAATTAAAAAATAGGAATTTACAATGAAAAACTGTGGAGAATATAGTTCGAAAACGTTTTTCGGCGATTATTATTTTCATTTCAAATATTGCAACTCTAAATGTGAAAAATAAAAATTTGCCGCGGTGAATATCGGAATATATTTCTGCAAATCCCATTGCAAATTTTCATATCATATTTTTCATTTTGCAAATGAAAGTTGAAGACGAAAAAGTAGTTTTTGCATTCGTGAAATGAGGAAATAAATATTCTCTTTATATCTGTGGTGAAAGGTACCTTCTAACTCGTAATTTCGATGAAATGATAGAATCTGGGACAATAAATTTGGTGCAGGTACGCACGTGTCAAATTTTAATTACAGTGTATTGTTAATTCAACATTATTCGAATTCATTTGTATTAACACGTTTCCACTGTTTGGATTTCCAAGAAAGCCATCTTCATTATATGATAGTGTATCACGTAAATCGCTTTTTCCATTGAGCATCGTCACTCATCGAAAATCTCGGCCATACTTATCATTTATTAGAGGCAATCCCAGTTCTATCGTCCGCTATTTCCATTATTAATGAAAACGGCAAATAAACAGATTTTTACCAATTTTTGGCTGAAGGTAAAATTGCACGAAGATTATTCATATCCCGCCTAAGCCGTTCGAATATCACATTTCATTTTACTATGTCAGAAACTGAAAGCATTGGATTTTGAATTTTCATTTGAACTTCTGATATTCTGATATTCTGGTACATAAATAAAATTGAAGAAAAAAGCAATTGAATTTTGTCAGTAACAATCAAGCAGCCACGATTTGTTTGGCAAGCCCACATAGCCGGTTTCTGTGGTAAAGTGAAAAAAATAGCTGCCGCGATTAGTAAAAAAAAGATACTAGAAAATCTAAACCTGGGCAAACATATTCATGAAGATGGTGATGGTGATAGATGGTGTGAGAGTTCGTTCAAATTCTTACGCATTTCCGTTGAAACCTGACTTGAATTCGGAAGAAGACAATGAATGATTTTGCCATCTATGTAATTAATTAAATTCTGTTGAGTGAGTTTTTTTTAGTATGTATTTTTGCCAATTCTTGGCCAGTGTTTTGAAAGATATCAAGACTTTTTTTTGTATTTTATTTGGCATGTCAGCTTTGTAACACTTTTCCCGATCTCGTCCCGAAGATCGGCGATAGTTATTACCTTCGCCCGTTCCCGTGCTCGCATCCTAAATTTCAACCGAATTACTGCTGGCGCCAGCTAGCTTTTTGTGGACCAAAAGCTAACGAAAACCGAACGAACCAAGGCGAGGGGGGG